TTTCTATCTTTTTTTTTCTTTTTTCGTACTTTTCTATTTCATTCATGTGGGTTCATATATTTTTTCTTTTTTTTTCTTTCTTTCTTTCTTTCTTTTTTTTCACTTTTTTTCGTACTTTTCTATTTCATCCATGTGGGTTCATATATTTCTTTCTTTCTTTCTTTCTTCTTTCTTTCTTTCTTTCGTACTTTTCTATTTCATTCATGTGGGTTCATATATTTTTCTTTCTTTCTTTTTTCTTTTTTTCTTTCTTTCTTTCTTTTCTTTCTTTCGTACTTTTCTATTTCATCCATGTGGATTCATATATTTTTTCTTTCTTTCTTTTTTTTCCTTTTTCGTACTTTTCTATTTCATCCATGTGGGTTCATATATTTTTTCTTTCTTTTTTCTTTCTTTCTTTCTTTCTTTCTTTCGCACTTTTATATTTCATCCATGTGGGTTCATATATTTTTTCTTTCTTTTTTGATTTAGCTTCCTTTCTTTTTATCTTTCATTTCTCTTCTATCCATCTCGGTTCCCTTCTATACATATAAGTTCATATATTCTTTCTTTCTTTCTTGCTTGCTTTCTTTCTTTCTTTCTTTCTTTCTTTCTTTCCTTCTTTCTTTCTCTTTCACAAATTCGCGCCATCAGACCAACCGGAGAGTAAATAACCCTAATTTTTTATGCTTAGATTAGAAAAGAGGTCACAGTCGACGATATACGTCGATAGGGTTGAATACAGTAAAGTGGTAAATATATATATATATATATATATATATATATATATATATATATATGTGGGCGAGGAAGGTGTCTTCTGTACTGAAGGAAGAGGACAGAGGTTGTCAGGTCGCACGGGCACCTGTCGGTATCTCCAGATGAATTCAAGAGAGTCGGGTGACAGGTGTTGAGTGTCGGGTGGCAGGTGTATTAGAGCACCCGGGTGAGTAAGCATTAGCACGAGCGTCTCATAAATAGGCAAATAAGATAGTTTGGAAGATAAGATGATAAAATACAAGATACAGAAATATCAGCACCCATATATATATATATATATATATATATATTAAACATAGGCTATTTAGTCAGTAGACCTTTTGTTAAAGACATTTTATTAAACATAAGAAGTGCCTGTTAAGAAATGTGTGTTTGGTGAGTCTATCTGGATATCTATCTTGATATCTAGGTGGATATTCATTAATTCGTGATGTATGGAAACTTGTAAACAACTTTTCGAAATTGTGTGTAATTTTTAAACTACTCTTAGCTCTATGTTCATTTCATGAAAATTAACAACGCTGCTTGAATATTATATATATATATATATATATATATATATATATATATATATATATATACATGTATATATGTATATATATATGTATTATAAATTAACTGATTTAAAATATATTATAAATTAACTGATTTAAAATATAGGCGAAATATATTATAAATTAAATGATTTAAAATAAGGCGAAAAAACATTTTAAATCAGTTAATTTATAATATTAATCTCTATAAATTTACATTGAGCACTATTTTGTAAAAATAAAATATCAATAAGAACACCGGATTATATATCATATTGTTCTTTATATATATATATATATATATATATATATATATATATATATATATATATATATATATATATATATATATATATATATATATATATATAATAAAAACAATAAAAAATATTAAAAAATTAAAATTTTTCAGACACACTGAGTTGTATATTAAATGTTTTTCTTTATTAAATAATAAAAGAAAAAAAATACTACTCAGTGTGTACATTGCCAGAACAAGACAAATTCCTAAAATCTTTTCTAAATGCAGATACAAAAATAAATTCCTTCACAGCTATCTACACACACATCATAAAAAATCCAATTAAATTCCGACAACCTAATAAATTTTATTCCTCATACGAAAAGAGAGAAACAGGGGAAATGGAAGAAAGGAAAATAATAAATAATATCTTTATAAATAAGCAATCTCGGAGTCATGACCCTGAATAAACCGCGCCTGTTTAAATACACACTTCTTCCAACCATCCAACCAGCATAAATAAGTAATGCTGTCGCTCAGAGCATAAATAACCATCAGTATAGCCGGAGACAAAAGAAAATGGCAAGGGCCGCTTTGCTCTACACCACCCACTTCTCTATATACACAACCCTCTACTTGCACAACTCACCACATAGTAGTAGTGTCACTTGGTCTGAAGATCGCACTGAAGCGTAAAAGTGACAGTCATAATACAGTGTTGATTCCTATGTCCTCTCTGTCTCTCTCTCTACACGCAGACGCACAACACACACAGACGCAGGCACACACACACACACACACAAAATATATACATATATATATATATATATATATATATATATATATATTATCAATCTGACCAAAAAATGATTTAGATTTTTGGAAGTGGGTCGAGCATAGCGTTTTTTTTCAGCAATCTCTCTTTCTTTTTTTCTTTTTATCTTTCTTTCTTTCTTTCTTTGTCTCTGTCTGTCTGTCTGTCTCTCTCTCTATATATATATGTGTGTGTGTGTGTGTGTATCGTTGTTGGCGGAACTCGTTGCTGAGTATTGGGTTGCACATCGACAGTTCCTTCTCCATGAAATGAGTCCTATGATGGATCTGAAGAGATATCTGCAGCCACCACATAGCAGGGTAGAAGGGTTCAGAGGACGGGAGAGCTCTGGTTTTTCTTTGGGCTCTCTTCGTCTCTTCGATTTGTCTTCTGGGGTTTTCGAAGGATGGATTTTTCGTGCACTGCTCTTCTCAATTGGCCCTCTCTGCAGCTTCCGTCAGCCAATTGACTGGATTGATTTCTGTCGATAGCATATATATATATATATATAATATATATATATATATATATATATATATATATATATATATATATATGTGTGTGTGTGTGTGTATTAGTAGTTAGGTTTAACTATCACCCGGTTAACGCTCCTCTCCGGTCTTTTGAACAGGAGTTTATCCCTTGTTTCCTGTTTAGAATTGGGTCTCCTGTTCCTTCTAAAGTCTTCTCATTCACTTTCACTCCCAGCAGAACCTTGCGTCCTAGTGACATATTTGCCTTTCTTGGAGTGAATTGTTTAAATATATATGTGTGTGTGTGTTTGGGCGCTATAATAATCTGTTAATCTTATATAGAGAGAACAGTGTTGGGAAAATTGGATGACAAAGTGGAAAAAATTGTGATGCGTTTCGTCCTTCAGGACTTCAACGGACTAAATTGATGTTGGTAGCACTACACATGCGCACGACAGAGGTTTTGCTGGGAAGTTTAGAATTGTCTTTCTTTTTTTTTTTAAAGAAAAAGACTCTAAATTAATTCAGCTATATAACACAAAAAAAAATCTAAAATTCCCAGTACCCCTCTGTCGTGCGCATGTGTAGTCCTGAATACATACATACATATATACATACACACACACACACACATATATATATATATATATATATATGAGGCTGAAACATTAATATTCCATGGTTATAATTTATTACATTTGAATCGTAATCACGACCCAATTCATCAGACTTACAAATTTGAATTGGATCGTGATTATGATTCCAATGTAATAAATTATAAACTTTGAATAACAGTGTTTGAGCCTTTTTTATATTATATTCTTACTCTGTCCTGGGCATTGAGTTCTACCTGGATTCTATCCTCTTGGGAATTCATATATATATATATATATATATATATATATATATATATATATATATATATATATATATATATATATATATAATGTATATATATATATATATAATACATGTAAGTATATATATGTCTGCAGTCTAATTATTACAAGCATTTGTTTAAAGGAACATATATTTATTTTCAAACATAATTTCATCCCTTGTCAATTAAATTAAGTATGAATATACAGATTAAATATGGAATTATCCTAAATTTCGATTTGAAAATTCTTAAAGGATCAAATAAAAATTTACAAATCAAGAGTTCAATTTATTTTTAGATGTTTCTTATTCTTTGCATCAGTAATTTTTATTTTCTTTCTTGTCTGCCGTTTAGCGTACTGGAATGGGGTTGCTTGAAATAAGGAGAATATACATTGATATGCAAACAGGAGACAACAATCTGGGAGGATATACAAAAAAATAATGTGGCAAAAATGGCGGGAAATTCAGAGTTAAAGTGGGAGGAAAAGGTCGACAGGACGCACGCCATTGGAGAACTAAGTAAGGGAGCAGGAAGAGGAGAGATCGTAAAGTGTATGCGACTTTAAAAAAGAATGAAATGACAGGGCAGGGTGAGGATAAGGAGGAGGTCTAGCACACACACACACACACACACACACATATGTACATATATATATACATATATATATATATACGTTCACTCTTGAAAACTAGAATATGAATAATACACAGTTGTAAACTAGTTTGTCACTGAAACATTTGCACACGCCCCACACACACACACACGTATATATATATATATATATATATATATATATATATATATATATATATATATATATAACACATGGACACGCACATACACACATGCATACACATATATAGGAAGAGGACAAGGGCGATAGAAAAGATAGTCAAGAAGAAGAAGAAGAAGAAGAGCAATGACTTATACAACGGAGCAGGAGAGAAAAGGAAGGAAACTAGAAGCGAGGAGGAGGTGGAGGAGAAAAAACGTGGATATCGAATACAGAGGAGACCCCCCACCTACCAATATAGAAGAAAGATGGAAAAAAGAAAGAAATGAATACAGAAAAAAGAGGAAGAGGTGGTGGAGGACGATGAAGAAATGGAAAGAATGTGAGGAGAAGGAAGAGAGATCAATAAAGAAGAAAGAGAATGACAAAAATAAAAAGAAGGAAAGAAGGGGGGAGTTAAGAAATAAAGAGAGAGAGAGAGAGAGAGAGAGAAAGAAGGAAGGAGAAAGAAAGGACGAAAATGAAAAGGTGAAATAAGAAAGGGTAAGAAAGAAGGCGGAGTAATTAAGACGAAGTAGTAGGTAAGAAAGAAAGAAAGAAAGAAAGAAAGAAAGAAAGAAAGAAAGAAAGAAAGAAAGAAAGAAAGAAAGAGCAAAAAATGCAGACAGGCGGAAAGAAAGAAGAAAGAAAGAGAGAGAGTGGAACTTTAGAAGGAAAGGTAACGAAAGAAAGAAAAAAGAAAGAAACATACAAACAAAGACAGAAAGAAAGAAAAAGAAGATAAGAGAAAAAAAGAGAAATATTATTTACAGATAATTTTTTACATCTATATAGTAAGTAGATTTTCAAGTTGACATTCACCAAAATGGAGACGAACACAGAGCCCGCGTTCAATTTATGATCAGTTCGAACCCCGATAAAGAAGCTTATTGATCGATAAAACATTGATCAGTCGGACCTAATCATAGTGATGCAACAGTTAATAAATGCATCTGGTTAAAACCATTACTGTAATGTGTTCGATCTTCACTCGATATTCCATAATTGTGGTATTGTGCTGTATTAATCGAATTGTTGTATATATCGATGGAGGCTGCAGGCTGATCTTACAGTTCGTTATTGCCGAAGTGAGTTTACTTCTCGTTTGGTCTTCCGTATTTTTTTGCATTTGTGTCTGAAGAAAACTACCAATCAACTGAATTAAGCTAGTCAAAAAGAAGGAAAAGAAAGAAGAAAACGACGAGAAAAGGAAGGAGAGAGGAGAGGAAGATAGAGAGAGAAGGAGGAAGGAATGGAGGAAAGATGGAAAGAAAGAAGCGAGAGAGGAGAAGAGAAAAGAAAGGAAGGAAAGGAAGAAGAACGAAGGTAGGGAGGAGAAGAAGAGAGAAAGGTTTGGAAGAAAGAGGAAAAGAAGGAGGAGGAGGAGAAAGGTGGATTGAAGAAAGGAGAGAAAAGAGGGTGGAAGGATAAGGTAGAAGAAAGGTATAGATGGACAATGGAGGAAAGGAGGAGAAGTGGAGAGGAAGGAATGAATGGAAGGAGAACGGAGGAAGGGGGAAGAAGAGGAAAGCAAAGAATAGAAGAAAGTAGGAAGGGGTGGAAAGAGAAGGAAGTGAGGGAGGAGAAGAAGTAAAGAATAGAAAGAGAACGGAGGAAGAGCAAAGACAAAGAGGAGAGATAGGAATAAAAGAAAGTAATGGAAGGAAAACGAAGGAAAGAAGAAGTGAAGAAGGAATAAAAGAAGAAAGGACGGAATGAAAGGAGAACGGAGGAAAGGGGGAAAAGAAAAGGAGAGGAAGGAATAGAAAAAAGAAATGAAGAAAGAAGGAAGAAATGGCATGAGAACGGAGGAAGGGAGGAGACGAAGAGAGGAAGGGTTGGAAGAAAGAAGTAAGGAAAAGAAGGAAAGAGAAAGAATCACAAAAATAAAAAAATGAAGAAAGTAGTGGAAAGAGAAAAATGGTAGCAAGAAAGAGTAGAAAAAAAAAGAAGAAGAAAAGAAGAGAGGGTGGGTAGAAAGATGGAAAAAGAAAGAAAAAAAACTGAAAAATTCCGAAAAAAAGAAAGAGAAAAATAATGAAAGACAAAAACAAAATAAAACAACAAAAAAAAAAACAAACGGGAGACAAAGGAAGGGGCAAAGAGAGAAAGGTGATAGAATAATAAAAAAAAAAAAAAGAGAAAAAATAAAGAAAGAGAGGGTAATGAAATAAAGAAAGAAAACGTGAAAGAAAGAAAGAAAGAAAGAAAGAAAGAAAGAGATTTGTTCAACCAGGTTGCTGTTCGCTGTGCGAGAAAACAAACAAATCAATGTGGTAGGAATGTTTTTTTTTTCTTTACCCGTGCAAAACAACTTTATCTTTGTGTTTAAAGACAAAAGCTGGCCTCGGCAAAGGCAGGTCGCGGGTTGGTAGGGGAAGTCGGTTGGTGGCTAGGTAGTCAGACAGGTGAAAAGATTCTTGGCGGACAGACACACACGTGAAGCGCGCACACACACATACGCATACACACGCATACAAACATACGCATACACACGCACGCGCGCACATGCCAATACACTTAGAGATGAATTATGTATCAACACGCTTGTCCAGGGATATCTTTTCACATAAATACACTATTAACAATGTAATGAAAACATTTATCTATCTATCAATCTATCTATCCGCCTATCATTTATAATGAGATAGATAGATAGATAGATATGAACAGACTGAGATAGATAGATAGATAGATAGATAGATAGATAGATATGAACATTTCTATCTAGCGTCCGATCTCTACCCTTATCTGTTCCTCTCAGACCTGCTTTTTCAGTATATCGTGCTTCTATCTATATAAGTCTGTTCATATCTATCTATCTATCTATCTATCTATCTATCTATCTCAGTCTGTTCATATCTATCTATCTCAGTCTGTTCATATCTATCTATCTATCTCAGTCTGTTCATATCTATCTATCTATCTATCTCAGTCTGTTCATATCTATCTATCTATCTATCTCAGTCTGTTCATATCTATCTATCTATCTCAGTCTGTTCATATCTATCTATCTATCTATCTCAGTCTGTTCATATCTATCTATCTATCTCAGTCTGTTCATATCTATCTATCTATCTATCTCAGTCTGTTCATATCTATCTATCTATCTCAGTCTGTTCATATCTATCTATCTATCTCAGTCTGTTCATATCTATCTATCTATCTATCTCAGTCTGTTCATATCTATCTATCTATCTATCTCAGTCTGTTCATATCTATCTATCTATCTCAGTCTGTTCATATCTATCTATCTATCTCAGTCTGTTCATATCTATCTATCTATCTCAGTCTGTTCATATCTATCTATCTATCTCAGTCTGTTCATATCTATCTATCTATCTATCTATCTATCTATCTATCTATCTATCTCAGTCTGTTCATATCTATCTATCTATCTATCTATCTCAGTCTGTTTATATCTATCTATCTATCTATCTATCTATCTCAGTCTGTTCATATCTATCTATCTATCTATCTATCTCAGTCTGTTTATATCTATCTATCTATCTATCTATCTCAGTCTGTTCATATCTATCTATCTATCTATCTATCTCAGTCTGTTCATATCTATCTATCTATCTATCTCAGTCTGTTCATATCTATCTATCTATCTATCTATCTATCTCAGTCTGTTCATATCTATCTATCTATCTATCTATCTCAGTCTGTTCATATCTATCTATCTATCTATCTATCTATCTATCTATCTCAGTCTGTTCATATCTATCTATCTATCTATCTATCTATCTATCTATCTCAGTCTGTTCATATCTATCTATCTATCTATCTATCTATCTATCTATCTATCTCAGTCTGTTCATATCTATCTATCTATCTATCTCAGTCTGTTCATATCTATCTATCTATCTATCTATCTATCTCAGTCTGTTCATATCTATCTATCTATCTATAAATAAGCAGTGCATATTTTAAAACTGAGTACTCTTCATTCTGTTTATAAACAGAAACAACAAAAATAAAAATAACTGAAAACAAATCTCAAAGGATGCGATTTGGCATTTGATTCACGAATCTTTTTTTTTTAATATCACGCAAAAGAGCCCCAAAAGAAATTTATTAAATGCGAGTAAAATTTTCTATGAGAAATTGTCCATCCATAAATTTTAAACATTTGCACATGTACACACACTGGCACGTGCATAATCATAATTACACACGCACGCACGCACGCACGCACGCACACACACACACACACACACACACACATAATGGAGGTGGTTCAGTAAGTAATAAGTCCTATTTTATTATATTGGAACACGACGTTACGGGCTGATGGTTGTTAATGGGAGCAGAGGCTGAATGTTCCCTCCATTTTCCTGGCTTTGCTAAATTAACGTCTGCTATGAAAATGCTGACAGAGGAGAAGTCTCTTATTGAATAACTTGCTGCCCGCTTATGGATACTAAAAATTGAATGCTGAGCAAAACGTTAGGAAATGCATATCAACAGTGGCGTAAGGGGTTGTTACTGGACGGATTGCAGACTTCTGACCATCGTGATGAGAAAAAAAAAAAAAAAAAAAAAAGTTTATCGCTGTCGCTGTCAACTAGATCAATCCAACGGGGTTATTACGCTGCTTGTATATATTTTAGGCTTTGATATAGGAAACGTTACATTCGGAACATTGCTTGCATTGTTTTCACCTAGGAACTGGTGAAATATGTTACAAAATTAAAACCTTCAAATTGTCTTATATATTTAATATTCCGTTTGATTCTCATATATATATATATATATATATATATATATATATATATATATACTACATTACTTAAAATCGAAAACCGAAAAGAGTAAATAAAAATATACAGTATAATAAATAAATAATAAAAAACAAGTAAAATAAATTAAATAATTAAAATACATCCAAATAAATATATATAGTGGCAAAAAGTCAATCATATACAGTTACTTCAAATAATAAATCAAGACAAAGCAATTAATCAACAGCCCAGACAGTTATTATCAAATTGGTTCTGGTTAATTCTGGTTAATAACGATAAAATGTTATGGTAAACAATAGTAAATTAATTACCGATACTGTTCGAATTACAATTCACCTGCTTCAATGCTTTGCTTTTTTATTGTAAGTAACTGTATAGTGACTTTATTGTTATATGTATATATATATATATATATATATATATATATATATATATATATATATATATATATATATATATATATATATATATATACATATATATATATATACAGTGACACGCATAAGTATTGGATACGTGTTATTTTCTGTTATAATTCTAGTTTATATTCGCCATTTTGCCTGATATTTGGTAAGTAATATCTCGTAAAGTTGTTTTAGTTGTATGTTGAAGGAAAATTAAAAACTCAAATATGAGTATCCACTAGAAATAACGTTTAAAGTGATAGAAATCTATCAGCTGAATAAAAAAAATACATTAATCCTTTAATATATATATATATATATATATATATATATATATATATATACACCCTTGTGCAAATTGATAATAATAATTATATATTAATTAATACAAAACGAATAATTCCGTTATTATTCACTTTTTTCGTATTTTTCCAATGAAGCATAACAAAGTGTAGATGTTAGTACTTCGTATGTCCATTCAATGCTGTCGTTCCTTGCAAATTGAGCACAGATTCTCGATTGGATTTAAATCAGGAGAGCTTCCGGGTTAGTCTATAGATTTGCTTCCGGGTTAGTCTATAGATTTGCTCACTGGTAAGGCTTGCCAGTGTGCTCGTAGAGCGTTACAATTTATGCTTCTTTGGAGTAATGTCTATCGTACACAATGGCAGTAGGACAACTAATCGACAGTCGGGACAATAGTGTCTTGGCGTGATACAAATCTGATGCAATCACGGATGACGCAATATTTTTCAAGGCCAAACAAATTTCATCATACACTCCAAAAACAGATTCATGTTACTGCACACCATTGCAAATGACCTTAATCGGAGTCAAAAATAGAAATCGATTACACCAGTGGGTCGGAAACGGACCAAATGCTGAAAGAAAGGAGAGAAAGAAGCACAAGTGTTCGTTTATATATATATATATATATATATATATATATATATATATATATGTGTGTGTGTGTGTGTGTGTGCTATCTTGCGCTTATTCACGCGACCGTATGTAAAAATAATACCTACCTGTTTACGATATGAACATCCTACCATTGTTAAACGGAACACTTCTCATTTAACTCATTACTAAACACGTTAAACGTTGAAGACAGGCTAGCCATAAATGTACACGAATGACAAATGTAAACTAGTCTAAATGGCAATACAGCGCCATCTACAGTATACTTTCTTTATAGTTAATAAGTTAGAAACGAAGGATTTGCGGATATATGTCTATATGGGCTTTTGTCATTGTTTATGTTTGGGTAACCTGCCCCCAAAGTTTGTTAAAGTATTTTTGATACACCCTGTGTCAGCAGTAAATAAATCAGGTAAAAATTTGTTTATTTCTCTATTGGATAATGTGGTTTAAGTCATGGCAATTATGTATGAAAAATAATATCGCCCAAATGTCCGCCAAATCTAAAAGAAAAAGAAAAAAATCATTAAACGCTTAAACGTAATTCACATTTAAAATCGGTCCCAGTTATTGGAACACCCTTTATACATATAGCACTGCGCTTACCTCAAAAACTCAATAATGTAGAACAAAGTATTGAATGCTCACACGCGCATGAAATAAACAATGCCTTACTTTACGCGATATCCTATTAATGCGAAACTAGAACAAAATAGATTTTAACATGT